CCCCCAGACCCAGCATCCTCCCTAGAATCCAGCACCCCTGGACCCAGCACCCCTGGAAGCATTCCCTTTGCTCCCCACCTGGCCCCTTTGGGCAGGTAAGCATGTCAGTGAGGGGCAGGTCTCCTTACAGCAGCCATAAATAACCCCTGCCCCTTGACATATGGTCGGTTCCCCTCCTGGTGCACCTGAGCAGAAACCATGACAGCAGTTAGTGACATGTTTATTTGCTCTGCTAGTTCCAAAACAGAGCTCTGGTGGAGTAGTGCCTAAGGCACTTGACTGCCACCAGAAAGCTAGTGGTTCAAACCCACCAGCCACTCCTCAGAAGGAAGGTTGAGCAATCTACTTCCACAGAGATACCGCCTGGGAAACCCAAGGAGGGGTTGCTATGTTGCTATAAGGTACATAAAACAACAAAGTTCCAAAATATTCGGCACCTCCACCAGGGGCCTGAGGGATACTGGAAGCAGGGGCAGCCACCAGCCCACCCATCAGGCTAGCTGCCGCTCACAGCAGGCAGTGGGAATCAACAGTCACAGAAAGGGAAATGCTGGGGACGTTATGGCCAGTGTCTGTGGCCAGGAAGATTGTGTGCGTACGTGTGTGTGCATATGTGTGCATGGGCATGCATGCACGTGTATGTATGTATAAATATGCATATGTGATAATTCACATGTGAGTGTGCACCACACATGTATACAGAGTGCATGCATATACATGTGTGGAGGTGTATGTACACACCCATGTCCATGCATGTGTGTATATTACACACGTGCACAAGATCTGCATAAGAGTACAATGGGCAAAAGCAACTAATACTATGAGAAACACACATTTCTGGACCACACGCATCGAAGCAACATTGAGAGGGCTGGGTCTGCTTCTTGCTCCCACCGGGGTGCCTTGGGCGCACATCCACACATCCCCTGTTCAGCTCCACACATACCCAGCAACAGGGCCTGAGGGCAGTGGCTCAGACAAGTGGAGATTTCCTCATATTATGTGCTCTGGGGGGTTTGGCAGCTGCAGGACATCAGGAGGGGCTGGCCTCTGCTTTCTGCCACCACCTGTTGTGAGGTGGCTGTGTGTGCATCACCTGCACACAGCTCTCAGAGCAAGGAAGCAGGGTGAGCCATCCCTCAAGGACTGGCCAGGACTCCAGGCCACACGCTGCTCCTAGACCAGCCACTGTCAAAGGGCCATTCCCTCCTGGGGCACCCCTAGGTCAAGGGGCCACTGCCCAGTATTAGGTAAAGTGGGGTCTGTTACTATGGAAGGGGATGGTTGCCCACATGCCCATGGACCTGTCTGCACCCTGGAGGCCTCACACTGTGGGGTCTTGCCCACCCTCAGCCATTGCTGCCCTTGCTCGGCCAACAGCGCCTAGGCTGTGTGTAGTGTGCAGAACAGGGCCATGTGTCTGCACACATGCACGACAACCTCATAAGACACGGCGATCAACACACACACAGGTGGCGGGTACAGCACGAGCCAGTGACTGAATGAGCAGGCACATGGGGGTACAGAGGGGAAGGGGGCAGAGGGGTCCTCGCTGCAGGGGTGTCTGCACTGAGGCCCTTACGACAAGAAGGGCAATGCAGGGCCCCTTACCAGGGCCAGCTGGTAAGAAGAAAACCAAAACAAACCCACTGCCGTGGAGTCGGACCCGACTCATAGGGACCCCTCCTTGGGTTTCTGAGGCTGTATTGCGATGGTAGTAGATTGCCCAACCTTTCTTCCGAGGAGTGGGTGGTGGGTGTGAACCACCAGCCTTCTGATCAGCAGTCAAATGCCTTAGGCACTACGCCACCAGAGCTCCCTGGTTAAGGAAGAGGGTAGGTGCATTTTTACATGAGGGGTGAGGAAGGGCTCTGGTGGTGCAGTGCTTGACGCATGTGCCTGCTAACCAGGAGGCTGGGGTTCAAACCCACCAGCCACCCTGAGGAAGGAAGACGGGGCAATCTACTTCTGTAAAGATTTACTGCCTCAGAAGCCAATGGGGGTTGCTATGAGTTAGAATCAACTTGATGCCAGTGGGTTTGGGCTTGTTTTCTGAGAGACAAGGTCTACAGCGTTTGGCTCTATATAACACACCTGCTGGGTGGATGGCTCTCAGGGCCAAGGGTCAAAGTGGGAACCCTCAGCACCTGCTGATGCTGCCTCCCCAGGAGCCTGGGGCCTCGCCTGGAATGCATCTGCTCACGAGCCCTTCTTCAGGGTTTTCTGATAAGGCCTCCAAGACGTACTGCTTCCTGTCCCCTCTCCCCGTCAGATGTGTGTGCTGGCCCAGACCACTGGAGGAAGGGAAGCACCCACCCTGCTTGTGAATGCATTACATCTGTGCGCCCATGCCCATCTGCAGACACAGGTACACCTGAACATGGCATGGATCCCAACTCTGCCTACTTCTGGCTGTGTGACTCTGGGCAGCAGGTCTTTGAACTCTCCTGTGCCTACAACACCTTCCTCACAGGGTTGTGTGATGGTTAGAGGAATGATTACACCTTGAGGTCAGAACAGGGCTAGACACTCAGTGCACATACCAGCTCATGTTTTCATCCCTACTAAGGTACAAGCTCACCTTCACACACCTCACCAGTGTAAACAGACTCATAGTAATAAATGGCTCATGCCTTGCCGGGGATCAGGCTGGGGCTCGGGCTGGGCTCGGGCCTGGGGCTCGGGCTGGGCTTGGGCCTGAGGCTCGGGCTGGGGCTCAGGTGGAGCCTGGGCCTCCGGCTGGGGCTGGGGCTCAATCCGGGGGCCCCGGTCCGGGCAGTAGCAGCAATCTGGCCAGGGCTTACAGCCAGGCTGGCAGCAGACCTGCAGGGTGGGGTCCTCCCCCTGGGCCATCTGGCTGGGGCTGAACGTCATCTCAGCATCAAACTGGGCCTTGAGCAGCTGAAGCTCCTTCAGCGCCTGCAGCACCTCCTGGGGGACCAGGGCCACCCCTCCTAGTAGGTCATAGTTCTCGCCAGGATCCGTAGACAGGTCAAAGAGCAGCGGGGGCTCGTGAGCAGTCAGCGGAGTCGAGGCATGGCAGGCCGGGTCAGCCGTAGTGTCGCTGTGGGCAGAGCCTGAGAGCAGGGGAGGCGAGTGGGGTCCAAGAACTGAGGCGGGTGGCTCACCTCCACAAAGGGCATGAGGGAGGGAGGGCTGGGCGAGGGAGAGGTTACCCTGGGTGAAGAAGTGAGCCTTGTACTTCCCACTCCGCACAGCGAAGACCCCGTGGACCTCATCCGGGTAGCTCGGGTAGAAGAAGAGAGATTGCCGGGGGCTCTGGGGGTAGAGTTGGGGAGTCATGGAGTGGGGAGGGCCGGGGGCCGCAAGACTCATTGACCGCTCAGGAGCCAGCAGGCATGCAGCCCCAGTCACTCAAGCCCATGCTTGTGCCCACGCCACACCTACGCTCACACTCAGCATGGGAGGGCCCAGCCCTGGGGTCACAGCTCACCTTGCCTGTGCCCAGCAGCAAGGGGCTGAGGTCAAAACCATCCAGGGTGATGTTAGGCAGTGGGGCCTCAGCCAGGGCGGCCAGAGTGGGCAACAGGTCCAGAGAGCTAGCCAGCTCACGGGTCACCCCTGTGGGCAGATGGCTAGTCAGTCACTCGGTTTGCCAAGGTCAGGGGGCAGGGCTGGGGTCCATGAGGAGAGGACCTGAGGACTGACCAGGAGTGATGTGGCCTGGCCAGAAGGCCAAGGCTGGCTCTCGGACACCTCCTTCGTAGGTGGTCCCCTTCCCACATCGCAGGAGGCCTGAGCAGCCGCCATGGGACATCCGCATTGTTTCAGGCCTGGGATGCACCAGGTGGGTCATCATTGAAAAGGGGTCCAGGCCCGCCGACCCACTGCTGGTAACCCCAGCCCCTACCACCCAGGGCAGTATCATGCTGCCCTGCCCCTGGCCTAACCAAGGCCAGCACCGCCACACAACCAGGGGACTGTGGTCACTGTTCCTGGCCCCCACAGCCCCCATCCTCATTCAGCAGCTGGCTTGGGATGGAGGAGCTGGCATACCCGTTATCTGCTGTGAAGATGACCAGTGTCTCTTTGAGCAGACCCAGGTCCCCAATGGTGGCCATCAGGGCTCCCACGGCCGCATCCAGCTCCATCAAGGAGTCCCCAAATGGCCCACGGCCTGAGTGCCCCACGAAGCTTCTCCCGCTGAACTGGGGATAGTGGGTGTGCTGGGGGCGGAGGATGGAGTGAGCATCGGGTGGGGATGCGGCCCTGGGGCAGGGCAAGCCAGCCCAGACACTCACGTGGGATGCGTAGTACAGGAAAAAGGGCCGGCCCTGGCGTTTCGCGTCAGCCATGAGGTCACGGGCGAAGGCCACATAGCGGGCCTCGAGCCCAGGCAGCCAGGGGGGCTGTGCCTCCACAGAGAGGTTGGCCAGCAAAGGGACAGGGACCAGGCCCTGGTCACAGCTGCCGGTGCACAGGGTATCCGGTGGGAAGCAAGTCAGGTTCTGGCAGGGGCCCTGGGGGAGCAGCTGCAGTGAGGGGCTGTGCGCTGTGGGCAGTGGGGTGGGGTGGGCAGGAGAACACCAGGCCCCTGGAGGTGCTGTACCTGGTCATGGGAGTAGGGAATGCCCAGGAACCGGTGGAAGCCCTGGTGGGGGGGCAAGAAAGCCCCCCCGGGCCCCACGCCGAGGTGCCACTTCCCAGCCATGCCGGTGAGGTAGCCTCGGGCTTCCAGGACCTCAGCTAGGGTCACTTCCTCCAGGGGCAGGCCCCCCCTGGAGCTGGGCTCCAGGACTCCAGGATACATGCCCACGCGAACCGGGAGTCGGCCAGTCAGCAGGGCCGCCCTGCAGGACAAAGCCCAGTGTCCCTGAGACCAGGCAGTGAAACCCGGGGGGAAGGGAACGGGGCGGCACAGGGAGACGCCAGGACCTCCCCTTCGGCCCTGACTGCAACCACAGGGCAGCCCCAGTGACCGTGGTTGGAGCCAGGCCGGGGTCGCGCTGTGGGACCCTCGCTGCCCACTCACCGCGAGGGCGTGCACAGAGCCGCCGGCACGTAGAAGTCTGTGAACCGCAGCCCCCCTGCGGCCAGCAGGTCCAGGTTGGGCGTGGTGGAGCTGGGGTGGCCGTAGGCGCCCAGGTCCCCGTAGCCCAGGTCGTCAGCAAAGATGATCACGAAGTTGGGAGGACCGGCGGCCGCCAGGCCCGCTAGGGCCAGGGCTAGGGGCCACAGCGCCCCCATGGCGGCGCGGCGCAGAAAGGGTTGCCGGGACCCCTGGGAAGGAGGGAGACCCCAGACCCAGGCGGACCCCTTCCCAGAGACCCCCCGACTCGGGCTTCACTCGTCCCCGGAGGCTCCGGGTCCAGAGAGCCCTTCCCAAGTCCCTTCCGAAGTTTCAGACTCGGCTCGGTCCCCGGAGACCCCACTCCGACGGAAGCCAGGGGGCCGTGGCCTGGGACGACCTCTGGAGACCTTCAGATTCTCAGGCGGAGAACTTCCCGGGTTCACCTGGAGGTCTCGACACAAAAGTCACAAGAGCGTGACCTGCGGCGACCGGCGCGACGCGGACGGCGAAGACCCACAAGGGGCGGGCCCCGGAGCGCGGGCAGCGGCAGCGCCAGCGCCAGCGCCAGC